TTGTAGTACTTGTGCACGATCTCCATAGATAGCTAATTACACTGAGAGAGATGCTTGAGTGCACCCTAAGTCAACTTTTCAAAAAAATCGACTAAGACGACTAACCCCTGGTCGGTGAAAAAAAGTTGAATAAACTTAAACATGAATAAAGCAAACTAAAAAAGCTTTGAACATTAAAATATAAATATCAGATATGGCCAATGTTTATGTGCATAAAAAAGTAACCTAAAAAACTAGAGTTTCGATCCCACACTAGAATGATTATCATCAGCTAAATTAAATAGTGTATTGTCGGCAATATTTTGACAATCATTAAGCGTAAACTTTTCATAAACTTCATTAAAGTATTATTTTCTTGATGCCATAAGCGATCGAAAGTAAAATAACAGCACCGAATATGCCTTTAAAGGCTGTATTTCTAGTTTGCTGTGGTTTACTGAAAAATAACCAGAATAAAAGTTTCATATTAAATTCATTGTACGGTGGATAACGAGCTTTAGCAAGTTTCTCCATGGCAAATGGTGAAGTCATAACGGACCGCTCATGAGAAAAAGTGTCAAAGGATCGTTTGCCATGGTAACTTCCTATCCCAGATGGACCTTGTCCACCGAATGGTAAATCTTTTACTAATAGATGAGATAATCAATAGAAAATGGATTAAGTTTTATGAAATTGTTAAAAAACAATTTTCATACACATCACATTTGAACATACCAGTGAAGTGCATAAGACAATCATTAATAACAGCACCACCAGATCGAGTGTTATCAAGAACTAACGCAAATTAAATATAGTTAAATAAAAAATACGCAAATAGATAGGATTATATTTATAAGAAATTATAATTAAACTTACTATGTTTAGCAGTTTTATCACTTTTACTAAAGGGATAAAGAGCCAAAGGGATATCTCTTGAATTCACATATTCAATCGCCTCATCAAGATTCTTAACAACGACTATAGGGAAAATAGGGCCAAAAATTTCATCCTCCATTAATTTATCTTCCTTGGGAACGTCTGCTACTATTGTAGGTGAGATATATAAATCATCTCTGTCGAAATTGCCACCATGTACAATTCTTCCCTTAGTTTGATTCAATAAATTTTGCAATCGATCGAAATGGCTCTTATTGATTATACGGCAATAATGAGAAGTGCTACTTTGAGGATCAAGGCCATAGAATTGTTCTATAACTTTAGGTACTTCTTTGATAAAAGCATCTTGAACCGATCTTTCGCAGATCATATAATCGGGCGCAATACAAGTCTTATTTAAAATTGAAATTGAAATTAGGTTGCAGCGCATTATAAAAAAGTTGAAGAAATGAAATTTACCTGACCACAATTATACATTTTACTCCAAATTATACGTTTAGCTAATATAGAAATGTCCATGTCATTCGCAACAATCGCTGGACTCTTTCCGCCAAGTTCAAGGGTAACAGGAGTCAAGTGTTCAGCTGCGGCAGACATAATTATCTTACCAACTTTACCAGAACCGGTATAAAATATGTGATCGAACCTATGCTTCAACAAAGCAGTAGTTTCGACAACACCACCACTTACGATACGATAGGCATCTTGATCAAGATATTTTGGAAATAGTTCTGATACGAGAGCGGAGGTGTGTACAGAAAGCTCGGAAGGTTTGAGAATTACAGTACATCCGGCAGCAATTGCACCGATAAAAGGCATAAGCAGAAGATTAACAGGATAATTCCATGTGCCAATTATTAGGACGATTCCTATACAATTATAAATTATTCAAATCACAATACATAATAATATTATCTCCAACGTTGATATAACATTGTCCATAGAACCTTTTGTTGTTTTTACATAAGTTCTTTTAAAAATATGCTAAAGATGGGATGACTGTACAAATAAAACCTACCAACTGGTTCTTTTCTCACATGGCACTTGTTCATTGCATATCCTAAGTTAACTTTGACATAATTTGGTTCGGCCCAGCTTTTGAGGTTTGAAATGGTATCTAAAGCTTCTTGCTTAACCCAAGCTAGTTCGCCGATCAGAGATTCGTATTTATGCTTATGAAGGTCTTTGTACAAAGCATCACAAAATGCTTGCTCATTCTCATCGACCATACGATGCAAATTTTCTAACTGTTCTTTTCTATAACGTAAAGGTTTCGTCAAGTTAGAATTGAACGATTTTCGAAGTTTTTGGACAATCTAAAATAATGTTAATTTGGCTTGAATTTCAAAGATACTTAATTTGCTGAATAAACATTACTGAAATTCTTACCAAGGGTAATTCATCTATGTTCGTGTGAATTAGCGCCATGGTTGAAAATCGTAAGGATCAGATTTCAGAACATTGATATATATATATGTGGTAGGCACCCAAATCGGATTCTAAAATTGATGTGTAACCACTGCAGATAAATTTTTAGGCTGATTTTGGCTATAACCTAACATGATAAGAAAATATCCAGAACCGTGTGGTGACTATTAACATGGATTTTACAGTACTTTTAAATAAAGACCTAAAAAGGATTTTTTTTTCTAATCTAAAGGATTTTCAACGTTTTCAATGAATATAAATGAAATTGTATTTTATCAAGAAAAAATTCTTTTTTTCCATTCTCTTTATTTTTTGACACGGGTAACGATTAGGGTACGAGTGCTGCTAAGGGAAATTAGACTTCAGGTTTTCATGTTTATATTTAATGAAAAAATCTGACTTTGGCTTTAAACTTACAACTTACCATGCTCAATTCTGAATGACAGAGTTTGTAAGTATAAACAAAGTCTGCATCGCTCAAATATTTCAAGACGCCAATATAAGAATCCACTATTTGCATATTACGTGCGTACGTACTAGGGTTCTGCAAATGCCCATGCCGGGCATATTGGGCATCATGCCTGGCACTAATGCTTGTGAGGTTGCCCGTGCCCATGGGCACAAAAGTTTTGGGAATTTTGTAGGCACACATGTAATGTTTTAGGCACCTTTGAAGCAGGCACTTTGTGCCCTAGTGCCTGATAGTTTAGGATCAATTGTT